TTCCATTTAAAGATATTTTTCAGGGTAACTATTAGGTGCAAAGCATTGCCCAGGGGATTCCGTGCAGATTCAAGTTCATTCAAACATTAACTCTTAAGGAGATAATCCTGCATTTGCACTGAGACAGTGAGGGTGAAACCACCTCCCAAGGGCAAGTGTTCTGAACTGAGAGTGGAAGATTTAGGTTCTCGTTCCAGGTCTATCGTCAGTTCACCCTAGACAAGCCCCTCAGCCTCTCTGAGCTCCATTTCTTCAGCTGTGAAAAGCAAGTGTTGGAAGAGATGATGTCTTGGGGTCTCTTTTAGCTCTGATGTTCTATTACTCTAAGACTCATCAAGGAAGTACAGGGAAAGGGCTTACGTGGGAGAGTTGGGTGGGAAGGGAGAGAATAGTTCACCTCTTCAGAAGCCCTCTTACCTGAGATGCCTTTGGCACCTGAATCTTGCACGTGCCCAGCAGCCACCTGACTCGAGCTGCCAGAGTCCCAGGCCTGCTCACTCTGTTCAGCCTGGCAAGGGTTCCCCTAAACAATGAAACCATGAAACAGGTACCCAAGAGGTCCCGGTTTGTCAGATGCCTTGCATGTCAGCAGCACTAAGTGGCTGCTGGAGGCATTGATACTATTAACGATTGTTGTTGTTATTAGAGAATTCCAGTAACAAACACCATTCATGGGGAGTCTTCTATGCACAAGGTGCCACGAGGAGCGCTTTCTTAAAATTATCTATTTCTCTTGGCAAATGTACTGAGTGTTCTTATCTCTACTCTACAGATGAATCTGTGGCTCAAGAAGGTTAAATACCTTGCCTGAAGCCATACAGTCCTAGTATGTTCTACCTTCACTGTCTGACTTCAAAGGCACAGCTCTTCATCCTCCTGCTACACTTTGTACACCTGTGAGGCTTCCAATCTGGGTAGTCTTCCTTCACTTTCACCTGCAATGAGCAACTGAAAAGGACATACACCCACTAAGCATCATATCATACTCACAATTTGCAAAGTGCTTTCTCCTGTATCCCATCATCTCATTCTCATAGATGCTGGAGAGCTAGAAGGAGCATTATCTCTATTTTATAGAAGAAGAAACTGACTCTCAAGGGAGGTTGAGTAATTTGGAGGTGTCTTAAACCCACTTGCCATACCAATCACATACTTGTCTACATTTCTGACCACTCTGCTACATCATTTTTCAGAACATTATGTCATGTGTCTTAAAGTGTATCCAGTTATTTATATTTGCATTACAGAGTGGTTAACAGAGGGCCTTCCCGGAGAGATATTACCAAATGGCAGTTAGTATTTCCTTAAATCTTCTTCCAGGACTAAGTGTATATCATTTCCAAATAACTAAGAATAGTTCAGTGAATCCTAAAGTTTCAAACCCTCATAATGATATAATTTTCTTCTTTCAAAATACCGGTACATTCATCAAACCTCACTCTCTTTACTGAGTTGACAGTGTACACGTGAGCTACATAGAACATTTGAAACTTCGAAAATATCAACACCAAATTGAATTTCTTCTGCTTTAGATTCAGATTTGATTCTAGCTCAGCTCCAAGTAACTGGATGATATTAGACACAAATCGCCCTGGGTCACTTTTTCCTATGAGTAAAATGTAGACTTGTCAGATTTCGTAAGAAACAAACAAAGAATCCAGTTAAATTTAGATTTCAGGTGAATAATATATATATTTTTAGTTCTTATTTATAATTAGTCCTTGTACTAGAAGAAGTTGTTGTTTATCTGAAATTCACATTTAAAGGAGCATCCCATATTTTATCTGGCAATTCTAAAAGAGAGAACTGTTCTTAATCATCTCCTAGGTTTTCTACTACAACATGCTATGTTCAATGGCATTTTCTGAGAAAAAAAAAAGATAAATGTGCTATTCCCTTGGCTCATAATTATTTTCCCCTGGATCTCTGCACTCAGATTTTAGCTCAATGATAGATTCCTTAAGCCCTTCCTGACTCTCCTAAATAAAGTAGCACCTTTTTATCCTTCCATCTGCCCTTTCCAGTCACTCCTTATCCCATTAGCTTGTTTTGTTATCATTATCTGAAATGATCTTCTTCACTCTTGTGGGCACATGTTTATTTTCTGTCCCTCTTGTCACTAGAATGTAACCTGCAGAGGGAAGGCTCTTTACTGTCCTGTTCATTGCCGTATCCCCAGCACCTAGAGCAATGCCGGGGCACATGAAACACTTAAATAGCCAAAACATATCGTAGGTGCTAAAAATGAGTTTTTTGACCAATGAGGGGTTAAGGGAGTCTAAAGAAAGAGAGTGGAGTATGGGAAGGCTTCTTGGAGGAAGTGGGATTTTAGTAGTGCTATAAAGCAGTGGTTTGGGGGGGAGAGTGGGAGTTGCCTGAATAAGCTTAGCAACATTTTCAAGCTACACCTGTCCCCACCCCCACCTCCCACCCCCCATTATCAGAATTTAGGGTGAAAGATGAGCACTGTTAATGTCAAAGGCTTCCCAGATGACTCTGATATGACCCTTCTATCCCCAGTTGGGAATATCTACCATAAAGAATGCATGGAATTTGGTTAAGCAGAAAGCATTAGGAATGGTGTCATTGGTACGGAACAATGTGAGTTGAGCACAGAGAAGAAAAAGTATCAGGGGCGGGGGCGGGGGGGGGGTATGAAAGCACTGCCCAGATCAGAGCAGAATTGAGGAGTTTGTGCTTCAGTCTGTAGGCAACAGAGAACAAAGTCGGGATTTTTCAGAAGGAAATGAAATTGTAAAAATGAGTCTGAGTAGCTATAATTTCCACCTGGGTCAGGAAACTATGGTGTACCAAACTCAACCCGCTGCCTATTTTTGTAAATAATGTTTTACGGAATGCAGCCACGCCCATCTGTTCACTATTGCCTGTGAGTCCAACACAGTGCCCGTAATGCTCATCCCTTGTCAAGCTCTGTATGCCCTTTAAGATTCTTCCACTGCAGAAATGGCCTCACTGCCAAGGTTTGACTAATTCATGTTTTATGATGATTAGATTAATACATTCATCAATTCCTAAATACTTCAAAGGATTCTGTATATGTAAGTACTAGGTTAAGTGCTGGATTTCAGAGTTAGACGATTTGTGAGTCCTAAGCCTTGCTCTTCATCTACCATATTTATCATATTCTATCTATATGTGGTTCCTATAACATACATCAGTGGAACTGTAGGGTCTTTGAACCTGGCACAGACTAGGAAGATATAGTTATAAATAACCACATAGCAAGTTCAAGTCTCTTTCTGGAAACTGGTATCTGACAGAGGATTGGCAGGAAGCTTGGTTCCTAGCAATAGCACGAGACACACAAGCAGTCTGGGTGTCATGGCTAAGTTTCCCAGTAAATCCAAAAATATCTGCTCTTACCTCTTTCCCCATATAGCTACACAAACACTAACCTCCATCCTTATCACACTTCTTGTCCTCTTTCAACTCTAAGTCTTCTGGGAATGACCTAACATTTTAGGCAAATGGCTGGTTCATTTCCTAAGAACCTCCCTCTGGAAACAGTACTGTCCTAGATGGTTTTAAAAGAGCTTTCAATCTCCTCTGACTAGTGCTGACGGTAACGTGGAAGCAAAATTCCCTCTAAGCTACAGTAGATCATGCAGCATCTATTCAAGAAATATTTATCCAGTTTATCGTGCTAGGGGTTGGGGTTACAGTGATGAAGAAATAACCACTAGTGAATGACTTATGAATAATTAATCTTAGTGCCTAGGTAGAGTTTATGTTTCAATATAGGCAATTTAATTACAATGGTAAGGATAGAACGGTGATAATCACTGGGAGTCAAGAGAACCTATAGGACGGTCACCTAACAAAGTCTTGGGGACTTCTTGAAGGATGTTGCGTCTGAGTGATAAAATGAAGGAATTACTAGATGAAGAGGAGGTTGGGGGAGGGGAGCCGAAGGCAAAGTGCTAAAGGCCCAGAAGGAGAATGATATCGGAGTCCTGTGTTAACAGTATGCTGTAATCAGTTGCCAATTATCTGAGTATAGCTAAAATGCTTTATGGTCGGTTCTAATCACTCTCTGGTGTATTGCAAAAGGAAGAAAGGGCTTGGCTTTTATTCTACTTTTTATATTACCACTAGATTTTGTGTGTGTGTGTGAATTCTGGCCATCATTTCACCTTTTAGCATATCAATTTTCTGATTTGTCAAATGGGGCTAAAAATACCACCTGCCCTCTCAGGACTTTGCAGGGATCCAATGGCACAATGTGTGGGAAAGTGCTCTGCAATCTCTAAAATGCAAGGGATTATTATTCTAATTCCTGCCGCCACCCAGGCCACTCCCTGTTTCCACCTTCCACTGCCCATCCAGATTTGCTCAGCAAATGCAAGCCCATTTCAATGTCATCTGCTTACAATAAATCAAATAAGGTGATCAAGAGCCAAAACACAGTTTTTAGATTCTCCCACACTACACAACATGAGAGCCCATATTGCGGTCACAGATAACAGTAGTATGACCATCAGGGAAACTTAGCAGACTGAGCAATCTATAATTCTTTTTGTTCTTGCTCATTTGACAAACATGGAAACTGGTGCAGGGGAAGGTCTCACGAATGGCACCCAGCTAGGGAGTGGTGCTAAACAGGGTCGGGTTCGTTTCTATCACCTCCTTTCTCCAAAGCTCCTGGGTCCTTTCTTTTCTGGTCCTTCTCAAATCCTCTAGAAACCAGTATAGACACAATGCAGTACGATCTGCAAGCAGGGTAGTTCTCCCCATTTTCACCCGGTGAAGCTGTGTTCTAATCCCTCTCTGCTTCTAGGCTTACTGTAACTGACTAGTGCAAGCCTCAACGGCTTAGGAGGCTAGTGGCCACCTTCCAGAAAAGTTGATTAGCTGGATGAACAGCAAGTTCCAAGCTTCAGCAGGAGCTTTCTCTAGTGAACACGTTACTTGTATTTCTAGTGAAATACAAGTTGTAAAAGTCTAGTGAACACGTTACTTGTATTTCTCCCATCGTAAAGTCATTCCTTAGGAGAAGTTCAGCAGCAATCCCTGCAAGGAAAAGGTGCTTGTGACTCACATGGATGGAAAAACCAAACTTGTCATTTGGGAAAGGAACTCGATTATGCCCAGTGGAAGGAAGAATTACAGAAGAGATTCGTGACCTAGTTTCAGGTAGTATTTAAAATGAACTTTAACATTTTTATTTCATACTTGTATCATGAGGTCACATGAGTTTGCCAAAATTTCTCTAATCTCTGCTTTGTTTTTAAAAAATAAGGGGCAGGCAATCTGGTATAGATAAAAACAACACCAAACAAAACAAGCAAGACAAAAACCAAAAAGAGCACTGTCCTCTTGCAAGAAGAATGGGGATCCAGTCCCAGTTTTATTAGTCACTAGTGTTGAGGGTCTTGGCACGTCACTAAACCTCTCTGGGACTCAGCTTCCTTCTCTGTGACATAGAGATAACATTATGAGTTCTTTTACCTCAGGATCAACTGGAGCAAAGAATGACAGCCCCAAGAAGAATGTGAAAGTGGCTTGAGGATCATGATTTCTGACTCAGTCTCCCATAGCCCAAAGGTCTTATGGGGCTGGGAATGCAGCAAGCCCTCAGGAAATACTTGCCAGTCAAATGGAGAAGTTCTACGATGGGTTCTTAAAATAAAGGGAAGAGAGTGTTCTGAAATTCTGAAAAATTACCAATTGACAAAAATTCTGCTTATTCATTCAACATTGGTAGACTGATGAGTGTTGCAGCTGTGTGAGGTCAAGAATATACTCATAGTTTCTACTGTGGTCCACTCATGAGCAAACACTTTTCTTCTGTTTCAGAGAACCACAGTCAATGCACACATATACACTCAAGCATGTGTGTCCGTACTGACTCTTTTTTACTAGGGAGAAATGGAGCCTATTGGTAGTATTACTAGTTTGACCTTTGGAGTTCACCCACTTAAATACTATTTATCAGTAATGCCATGTTTGGTTGAGGCACCCCTGTCAGAAAGTTAGAAGACCAAAGAATAGGCCATTTATGAAGAATATATTTGGATACTAGAAATGGAGCTGTACATGACCAGCTGTGATTGTCCAATCCATCCAAGGTAGAGAGATTGTCCTGGCACTGAGTTGCTTTCCGAATAGAACTCAGACCTTCTGGGAAATCAAAAACACAAAGCAGGGTAAAGGCCTTGAGTGCAGGGTCCGGGTCATAATTCACCTTTGAAGTCACAGCTACTCACAAGCTGTAGGCATCAATAAATGTTTGATGAATGTATTAATAAGTGAGTGACTGGGCAATGGAAGGAGTTCTGGACTCAAATCAGGGGATGTGGATTCCAGCCCACACTCTATCATCAGCACTGGGAGCATAAGGAAGTCATTCCAAATCTGCCCCTCACCTGTGAAATGAGAGGGTGGAATAAATAAGCAGCTCACAATCAATAAAGTACAGTGAATTAGCGGATCTCTTAGCTGGGAGATGGTGCTACAGTCTCCTCTCCACCATACTGTAGTTTTCAGGCTGCCTTGGGGGCAAGGAGAAGTGATGTCCCAGGTTGCAGCCAGCAATGCAATCTGAGTGCTGACCAGGCTCCCAGAACTACATTGATAATATTCCTTTCTATAGTCAGTATCTCAGGAAGTCTCACGATGAGGGAAACTAAAATCACCAGAAAATAAATTTATTCAAGAAAAATATTGGCTTCGACCAGCCACTCTGCTAATTGCAGGATAAGTCTGTCAACTCTGAGAATGAAACAGGACCCTTGAAAGTCTTCTCATGTGGAGACAGAACCAAGAACCCTACAGAGAAACAACCCTCCGGATGCCTGAGTTTGTGCAATAGAGCAAATGGCCCCAAGATGCATTTAGTTGGATTTTAATATTCATGCCTCTATGAGTTTATATCATAGTATATTATTTTCCTTGTAATATTTTCATTCTGCAATCAAATTTATTATTATTAAAAAGTACTATAGGAATGGCTACCAGGAACACAGTGCTTTCTACTTCACTAAATGTTTTCAGATCCATATAAAAGACATTTCAGGCCATAGCAATGCCCTCTGAGGAACCATTCAGGGTAGAAGATGGAGAAGATGATGTCTCAATTCTACTGTGTGGAACCTTTCCTCAGTTTGTCTGGGAATGCTTGTAAGGTGGAAATCTAGATGATGTCATGTGCAACATTCACCTGAACGGCCACATAGAGGTTGAACTGGAGTATTCTGAGACTGTGTGGTCAATGGAGAGAGCATGAGTTTTAAAGGCATGGGTTCAAATCTGAACTCTGACTCCTAGAGTTGAGTGACTTTGGACAGGGACTAAAAAAAATTCTTTTATGGGCAGTAGTTTATTTATCTTTAAAACGTATGCAATAATCTTCCCCATAGTTTCAGTGTGGATGTAAAAGACTGGGAAGCACCTAGCACATAGTAGGTGTTCTATAAATGTTAACCCTCTTTTTTTCTCCCGAAAGCTCTGCCTTTCTGTGGTCTCCTCTGTTCCTCATCACCAAATCCACTAAGTGAGACCTATTGGCTAGTCAGGCAAGCTTCTCCTTCTTTCAATTCCACTTACCAAAATGTATTCTCTTTCCCCCAAAATATATTCGTCCTCCTATTTCTAAAATTTTAATGAAGCCCCACCAGCCTGGTATTACTATAGTGACTTACGGGTAATCATAAGTTTGAGAACAAAAGTCAATGTGAGAATGAAAGTGTTTTAATATATCATTCTGTTGATGAATTTAGTAAGATACTAAATTAGCATAGTATCACAGGATGTACTATTCTTTTTAATACATGCCCTCTTAGTATATCCGAGGAATTTATGATAAGGCACACACTTTGAAATGATACCTAAAATTCATTCACAAATGAGTAAAACAGATTTTGGCAGACTTTTACATACAATAGAGTAGGGAATAATAGGACAACCCTGTTCTTACCATGTGAACTATAGGGCAAGCAACCACAGTGGCTAACAATCTGGATCATTTAACACTACTAAGAGATTCTGTGGCAAATATTATAATCAAGTGGATTTTGAATAGATGCACCAAGAAGTGAAGACTAGGTGAGTATATGCTTATGAGAATTCTTTTCATTTGGATGGATTATAAAAATGAAGCAATGACATCGTTTATTTGTCTTGGTTTGTGGAAGAGTTTGAAAACTGCTTTTTAAAATTTGTTTCTTTTTTTTGCTTCCTAGTAGAAATGAGAGATGTCTGTAAGCTGATGACATTCGGAAAACCTTAAAACAATACCTTTTTTATGTGGCACAAGAAGTGACTTATAAAAGTACTGAAAATGGGAAAAGCCTAAGATGAGACCTTGGAATACAAACATCCATTCATGAAATGGGAAACAGTGAAGGACATTAGGTAATAATGGATTTTCCATCCTTATGGATCTCACACAAAATCTCTGTAGAGGAAGGGAGGGAAACAAGTCTAGGAACACTGAGAAATACAGTCATTTTCCCCAAGACCCTGAATCAGAATCTGCATGAGTCTATCTAACATGTAGTGAATGGCTCACGGATATATAACTAGAAGAGAGAGACAAGGAAAGAAGCAAGAATCAAACACCCGTATGTGGAAACTCAAAAAAAGAACTGAGAAAACCCCACAAGATCAACTCTGAAATGGCTAAACTTAATTCTAGCCTAACGGCATGAAATACAACATTCTCTAGGAAGACCAATGTTTCTACATGCATCTTGAGTCATTGAACGTCAGGGTCTTGGAAGTATCACCTCATGGGTAGGAGCCTAACTTCTGATTAAAGGATTTATAAGAAATTATTATGCACATCATGTGTATTCTAAGGAATCATGTACAAAACTTGATAAGAAATTCACATGAATCAGAGCTGCTATAAAGTATTGAGAGCCTATTATGAGCAAAATAGTCATTGATACAAGTATGTGCCAGGGACTCTTCTAAATCCATGACAATGAACCAAAGTGACAAATATTCCTACCTTCATGGAGCTTACATCCCATTATTTAACATCTGCACAATTCTAACAACAGCCACAGATGTTATTATTCTTATTTTGCAGGTGAGGAAACTGAGATTTAAAAAAAGTGAGTAACTTACCTACAGTGACAGAGCTAGTAACTCATGTGCCAGAATTCAAATCCAGCTCTGTGCAGCTTCAAAGCCTCAATTTTTACCTGCTTTGCTACGCTATCTTCTATAAGCAACAGAAAATGGGTTCTAATGAGCATTAACACATCTACCACAACTCAGATGAGTATTCTCGATTAAAAAAAAAATACTTTCCTATTTGCAGTAAACAAACTACAACTTATAAGGAGGCGGATACTCAGTACCAAGTGCCTACCAGTAGGCAGGATCTCATTCAACCAAAATGTATTAATCGGGTACAGTGTCAAACCTTAGACCACTTCTTAGGGATATAAATTAGACAAGTCTAGTGGGGAAGAAGAACATATAAATGGATCATCATAACACAGCATGATAAGGCTGAAATAAGATAAGCCCAGGATGCTCAAGAGAGTACAGAAAACAGATCAATATAGACTGAAAGGAAGGAATGTTGACCTCTGCGTTGAGTTTTAGCCAGCAGGGGTGAGCTTGATGAAGAAAGGGGAGGTGGAGTGAGAAAATGGTAAAGTGCTTTGAGTAGAGAGGCAGAATGATATGTGCAGGGATGTGAAAGACAGCATGGTGCTTGAGAAAATGCAAGCATTTCAGCATGAGGGTGAATTGTGAGAGAGATGCTCCTGAAAACTGGCTGTAGTGTATTTTAGCAATGTGTGTGTTTAGAGAAGGTTGCACACAGGATGGAAATTGGGGGGCACATCTAGAAATCTAATAGTGAGTTACAGAATCTATTTCATGGATCTTGGCCAATATTTAGTTAAAACAACAAAAGAATAAAATAGAATAAAAAATATCAAGTATACCATATGTAGTAAGGTATTGTTTCATAAAACACACACGTATGTTAGGACTGAGTCTTGATGTTTAATGTATGTCTTACTATGACTCATGATCCAAAAAGTTTGGAAAGCACTGATCTATCTGTACCTTCCAACAGGCAGATTGTTCCCTTTGGACTTACTCAACAGGGCTCCCTTGGGGGGACCTCCTATCTATTTATTCCTGTCAGGAGAAAAGAGAGGTTGCTTGGAACAAACATGTCCCAGTTTCTTAAAGACTTTCCATATTCCAAAGTCCATGATCTAATTCTAAATCTCAAGTGGCTATACAGATAAACTACAATGACCAGGGCTATTTCTGAAAAGCAATTAATATTTCCATTTTGCAGAAGTGAGACAAAATAGGCACACAAAATAAAGCTTCAAATGACTCTAAGAAAGTCTGGGGCCCGTAAAAAGTTCTCTGTCCCAGCTATGTTTTCCACCAAATGAATCAACCAGGTACAGAGTCAATGCATATGAGTCATGAAACACACCCTATGTCGTATCTCTCTCTTCTTTTCCTTTACACAGGGATTTTCCCTAAAAATTACTTTTGGATTTTATTCCTCACTTTTTTTTCCCTAAGTCCAGTCAATTTCTCCCAGTCAATTTCTTGCCAGTTTCTCTGCTTTTTGATGTTTTCCTTGATGGTGTTTAATCTTGTTTCTCTTCTCTTTTGTCTGATCATTCTGAATTCATAAAAAAGTTCATATACAAAGAAAATCCATATAAAACATGGCTTTAAAAGGAAAGAACTTAAAATATTGCTGTTTCCTTTAAATTTATTACTTAACTGATTGCAAAGCACAAGAGTCAAAGAGAAAGTTAACAGAAGTAGTTTAATAAATACCTCTTAACTAAATTATCTGGCTAATTTAGGCCATTAAGATACTGGAGTTGATAAAAACAAGTCAAAAATTGACTTTGGGCCTAAATTAATTAGACTTGGTCAATATCAGTAGAATTAATCACACATTTGTCTACGAATCAACAATCAGAAGTCAACGTTGGAAATGACAGATCACCTCTCAAGCCCTAATTATTTACGCTTCTCGAAGACTATACCTCTCTTCTCTGAGCTATAAAAGCATCAGTTCTTATTGGGAGGAGCTTTTGTAGAATCATAGACTTCTTGAACTTGAAAACAACCTTAGAGATTATCTGGTCCAGAGTTTCTCAATCAATTTTATGAGGTTGAGAACATAAAAAATTATCACATGCTTGGTCCTCATGCAGATTCAAATGGCCCTTTGGTTGGGAGTCTATGCTTTTTATATCTCTACCTGCTAAGAAGTGTTTGTCAATCTCTTATTTCCTGTGGTTCCTGAAAATATTTTTCTTATATTTTTTAAATGAAAATGTAATGTTGAATTTGCTTTATTAAACTATGTATAAAACTCGGGACTTACTGATGCAGTCCAACTCTCCATTTTAGAGACCAGGAGAAGGAATCCCAAAGATGGTAAATAATTTTACCCCAGGCTCTGTTCTCCATAGACCTGGTACAGTATGTACAAAGCACGTAGCAAGGCCTGATAAATATTCTATTCAACCGTTTTTAAAATGGCCATACAGGCAAAGAGTGAGCAAGGAAGTGAATGAAAATATTTTTCATATTGAAAAATATGAAATAATTCATATGTGAAATAATTCATAGTGAAATAATTCACTGCGTTATAATCTCGTGGCTAACGTTTCCTGGGGAGTGTGATTTTCCAAGGGACTGCAGAATTTGTCCTTAATTTCGGTTACATTTTAGTCACTCTGCCGAGGGCCCCATACCAAATAGCTGCTGCACGTGAGGGGACACTTGTCTAAGCAAGTGGTGTGAAAACAAATGTTGCTTTGTTTAGAGCAACTCAGTGTCTTCTCTTCCTCCCTGCTGAAACTCAAGGACCTTGGAAAAGGTCATTTTATGAAGTTCTGGTGTGTATATGAGTAAACTTGAATCATCATATGTCATAATCAGAACCACGAAGCCAAATGCCATGAACCAGATTACCATGTCATCCCCAAATAGGTTATTATGGCAGGCTGCTGGGTCACCAGGATACTCTGGCTGGCCTTGTTTTTCATCTTACTCCCGGGGAGCTCTGGACCATTGCTAACATCATAGCTAAAGTCATTGGAAAAATATCTTAAATTCATTAGAAAGGACAAAAGGACAAAAGAAATACTTATTTCACTTTTTAAATTACATAGAATTAAAGTATCTGAGACAGTCTCAGGCACAGATCACCTCTAAGAAAGCAGAAGGAAGGGGGATGTAGAGTTGATTAGCTGAGTAATTTAGGCACTTAATAAGGAGAGAAGAGTCTATTTTATATAGGGCAGATATTTGAATTATAAATGTTCACTGATTACAGGGATCAAAATTATGGGATACTTGTTAAGTTTCCAGCTCATTCCATTTACTAACCATAGCTACTATTTAATGAATATCCGAATCCTGGCAGGCACTTGGTGCTTTCTGTGCATTTTTCTGTCATTCCTGCAATAACCATGCAGGACCATTCACTTCATCTTTCAAACTGGTAGGTAGTAAAGCTATGATTTGTATCCACGGTTATCTGCCTCCAGATGATGACTTGGCTTTCAAAGACTCTAGTATCCCTCCAAATCCTCATTTTGCCTTTTAGTAGCTATGTGACGTTGGGCTGGTTACTTAATCTCTTTCCATCTCATTTTCTTTATCTTCAAAATAGGGTTAATGATAGTGTCTGCCTAAGAATTCGTTATAAGTGAAATAGGCACATGAAGCACTTAGTTGGCATAGATTAAGCATTTAACTAGCTTCGGGCTTTTGTCATTATTGTAATGATAGCTTACTATCAGTAGATCCACAAATAACCTGGACAGTTGAGATGCCCAGATACTGAGACTAAACTTTTCTTACTGACCTCAATTATCTGGGAATTTGTGGTAAAGATCAAATCTCAAATCATAATTACATGGTGGGAAAAGATCAGGTCATCGCCAGTGCTTAGGGTCCAAGGAGCTCAGCTTCTGCTGTGTCACATGTGTCAACACGTTTGACTTCAGGGAAAATTGTCTTAGCGTAGGTCAGCGGGCTTGCAAAAACCAACAACCATAAACTCTTTAACAGGCTGGTTGCTCTGAAAAGAGGAAATCTGAATAAAATCCGTAAGTTCTGTAGTCACTCCCAGTGAATTAGTCCTTTATTTTGAGAACATGCGGGAGTAGAAACCAGTCTCAATCTAGTTGAAAACAAAGCTTGTGTGTTTTCTAAGTAAAATTTATAGAATGGTAGCAACATATGATAACATACTGATATGCGAAATAGTTTGATCTGGCATGGACGCTCACTGATTTGTTACTGTAATGTACTTGTTAAAAGAGCCTGGATTCTGGAGTTAGACTTCTGGAATCAACTCTTGGCTTCTCCACTTTTTAACTTCCCAGTCTTAGAAAAATTATTTAATCTCCTTAAAGTTCAGTTTTCTTATGTGTAACATAAACCTTATAAGAATATCAACCTCACTGTGTTGTTTTAAGGATTAAGGGAGATATTGCATAAAAAGGCACTTAGCCCAGAGCCTGATCAAAGAATAAGAGCTTAATAAAATGTTACCTATTGCTACTTGTTGTCAGTCTAAAGCTTTGTGTGTCAAGTAAAAGTTTTGAACCCCTTGTCCATTCATGAGATCTTGGCAATGGGAAAAGCTAATGGTGATTTCTTGGACAGAGGAGATGTCTTTGACAGAAATCTGGCAAGCTGTGAGGTACAGCAGGACAGAGAATTGAGTCTGGACCTCTCATATTGTATAAAGCTCAAACGTGGCCAGTCAATTTCTATCATTATCCTGATGGGCTACTGTAGTTCATTCTATATATCATTCTTTTGTGGAGGCCATGGTTTCTCCCTCTGAGCTGGGGCTTAGGGGATAGCAGGGTAGGAGGAGGACTCCTTGTGGCCACGCCTCCAAAGAAGCTGCAGAAATATTTATCAAGGGCTAGGATGCTAGTAGGGGATACTATTATATTTTATTACTCCTGGCATTGGAAATTACTCCTGCTTCCAAGTTAAGTATCAAGGCAGGCTACTAAAGTACGATTGCTGAATGCTGTAGAAAACCCATTTGGATTTTGTGTTAGATTCACTTTTTATTCATGATTTCAAATCTCAAATAAAGTCTCAATACTGCCTGGAAGTCCCACTGAGAACTTTCTGTGATACTACGTTCTATCTTCTCCCTTTTCAAATATCCCATCTGCCTCCCCCTCCACAATTTAAATCATCAGATGAGAAAGAACTCTCTGTTTTGATTATGTGTACAAACCCATCTCATCAGATTGTTATAAGGATTAAATGAGTTAATAAATGAAAACTACTTACAGCATTACTTGCCACATAGTAAGCTCTCAGTAAATATTACCTATGATGATGATGATTATTACCTGTGCCTAAATCCATTTCCTTCTTCTTCCCTCTTTCACCTGAAAAGGTGTCCCTGCCCCTGACAAATGCCAAGGCCTCAACCTGCTTTCTGGATCCCACTGTCCTTTACTTCCTCTAGGATTGTTCCTTTGATTATTTCCCCTCTCTCTTCATCAGTAACTTCTCCTTCTCTCTGGATTTTTTTCATCAACATAAAAATATGCTTTACTATCCTCAAGTGTTCAACCCACTCTGAATCTGGCTTCTATCCTTATAAGTCCTTTAAATCTGCTCTCCTCAAGATCATCAGTGAATTCTGTTGTCAAAACTGGTAGTCACTGTCTATCCTCAACTTACTCCAACACAGCTGATGGCCATTCTTCTCAACCCAGTGCCCTCTCTCAGGTTCCACACTTCAGAGTTTCCTCTTAACTCTCTAATCATTCCATCTCAATCTTTTCCCCAATCCTGTCCTTCTCTACTGAGTATCTAAATGCTGTCACTTTCCATGGACATGGGGCTAGACTTGTATTCTCCCTCTACATTCCCACTCATGCTCATAGGTTTATGTAAAATGTATGTGCTCTCTCTATCCCTATACTCTGAAGAGTTTTAATCAGGAAAGGATGCTGTATTTTGTCAAATGCTTTTTCTACATCAACTGAGAGGACCATATGGTTCTTCTCTCTCCTCTTATTAATGTGTTCTATCACATTGATTGATTTGCGAATGTTGAACCACCCTTGCATCCCAGGGATAAATCCCACTTGGTCGTGATGGATGATCCTTTTAATGTACTCTTGGATCCTATTAGCTAGGATTTTGTTGAGAATTTTGGTGTCCATATTCATCAGGGATATCGGTTTGAAATTCTCCTTTTTGATGGGGTCTTTGCCTGGTTTGGGGATCAAGGTAATGCTGGCCTCATAGAATGAGTCTGGAAGCTTTCCTTCTGTTTCTATTTTTTGAAACAGCTTCAGGAGAATAGGTATTATTTCTTCTTTTAATGTTTGGTAGAATTCCCCAAGGAATCCATCAGGCCCAACTCTTGTTTTTTGGGAGTTTTTTGATCACTGCTTCAATCTTGTTACTGGTTATTGGTCTATTCGGGTTGTCTATTTCTTCCTGTTTCAGTCTTGGGAGTTTATATGTTTCTAGGAAGGCATTCATTTCTTCCAGGTTGCTTAATTTATTGGCATATAGTTGTTGATAATAATTTCTAATAATTGTTTCTATTTCCTTGGTGTTAGTGATGCTCTCCCCTTTCATTCATAATTTTATTACTTTGGGTCCTTTCTCTTTTCTTTTGGATAAGTCTGGCCAGTGGTTTACCGATCTTATTAATTCTTTCAAAGAACCAGCTTCTAGTTTCGTTGATTTGCTCTACTGTATTTCTGGTTTCTAATTCATTGATCTCTGCTCTAATTTTAATTATTTCTCTTCTAATGCGTGACTTAGGCATCATTTGTTGTTTTTTTCTCCAGTTCTTTAAGATGTAAAGATAGTTGGTGAATTCAGGATTTTTCTGTTGTTTTAAGTGAGGCTTGGATGGCTATGTATTTCCCCCTTAGGACCTCCTTTGCAGTATCCCATAGATTTTGGACCAATGTGTTTTCATTCTCATTGGTTTCCACAAATTGTTTAAGTTCTTCTTTGATTTCCTGGTTGACCCAAACATTCTTGAGCAGAGTGGTCTTTAGCTTCCAAGTGTTTGAATTTCTTCCAAATTTTTTCTTGTGATTGAGTTCCAGTTTTAAAGCATTATGGTCTGAGAAAATGTAAGGAATAATCTCAATCTTTTGGTATCGGTTGAGACCTGATTTGTGACCCCGTATGTAGTCTATTATGGAGAAAGTTCCATGTGCACTCGAGAAGAATGAGTATTCTGTTGTTTTAGGGTGGAATGTTCTGTAAATATCTATGAGGTCCATCTGGTCCAGTGTGTCATTCAAAGCTCTTGTTTCTTTGTTATTTTCTGCTTAGATGATCTGTCTACTGCTGAGAG